TAATAATTATTGATTAATAATTTTGTTTATTTTTTTTTCGATTTTTGATTTTATAGGTTAGATCAGTAGATTTACCAAGCACAAAGGAACATAATTAATAATCAAAAAAAAGCACAATGTAACAAGGAAACATTTTTATCAATTTTATCCTCGGACTTACCAGATTTATGTTAGGAAATAATTTTTTTTGGTTATGTAAGCAAAACGATAAATTGAACTAATATTCGTATGCAAATCATACAATATATGGTATCATAAAATTTAAGATCACGTGTGTTTAACTGACTTGGATTTCTCATTAAAAAATCCGAAATAATATGAAAGATTAAACAAATACAAAATAATCAAAAGAATAGTGTGACACCAAGATTTCTTGAAAAATACTAAAGAAAAATTTTTTTCCTAAATAAAGACTATGTCTGAAATAATCAATTTTATTAACAAATGAATTTTTTTTTGGAAAAAATGCGTTATTACATGAAAGAGACTATGATTTAGAATATTTTTGTAGAATTTAGAACATAAATAATATGAAGAGGTTAAAGTTATGGAATTACTAACTAGGGAATGGGGACCGTTGTTAAGCCCGGAACGATCTTTACTAAAAAATTCACACTTATTCTTTTCATGCTAAAATCCACGATGATTTTCTTAAACACTATCTAATGGTGTATTATCAGTTCTTGTGACTACAAAATATTTTATTAAATTTTATGCGATGAAAAGAAAATCAAAGATATTCCAAAAATGTGCCCTATTTCCTTAGAATTTAAATGGCGCAACTCAGCTTAATATTTACTCCAAGACCAACTCTAATTCACACTAACTCCATCACTAAGTCCACCCAAACGCGATTAATTCTCTAATTTAATGTAATTTTCAATCGTAGGTTTTTTTATAATAAACTCTGAGAACGAAACCCCAAACACTTATTCCTAACCTTGCGAAACTACCAACTACGAGCTCACGCTATTCCAGATAACTTTTTCAAAAAACATGAAAATGATTTCTTATTTCGTTTCATGTTTACTCCCGATATCGAACTAAATTTTCAAAGAATGCAAGTTATTGAAGTAGGAGGCTAGGAGGATTAGATAAAAGTGAGAGAAGGTTATTTTTTTTTAAAAAAAAAATTCGCGCAATTCACATGATATCCATTATTAAATATTAAATACGCGATTTTATGGCTTATCAAGCTTAAAATTACGATTGTGAAATTATCTAGAGTATTACTATTTATTAATAAAAAAAAACAAATAAAATAAAAAAATTAAATAAAAAAATATACTATACGTTTCATGTTTACATGTAAACATACCAATGGATTAATTTCATTATAAACTCTAGCTCTTTTCATCAACGAACATTTTTAAAAAAAAAAAAAAAAATAACATTCTACTATCACTTCGGACTGCGATTATCAAAAATCAGGTGATCAACCGTATTACAAAATATTTTGTAACGATAATTATTTAAATAACATAGCGAGCCTATAAACATGGCTTAAATCGAAGCGTTATTGAAATTATTTTTTCGATATAAAAAGTCGTCTTGTTGCTGTGTGCTTTGAATATCGCCCTCGAATTCCTGGTAGCAATTGATATCGGTGTTATCATAATCAAGAGTGTGAAAGGTTTGGAGTGGTAGGTCGTTATTTAAACCAACATGTTGTGGATATGTGATATTATAACTATTTTCATCATGATAAGAAATATTACCATCATATGACGAAGCGTCTTCGAAAATGTCGTCGTCAGCTTCATCATTTTGTTCCATATCTCCGTCGGAATTTGACGTTGCTTCATCCTCAGAAATTTGATCTTTTGAAAGGTGTAACGGGAGAATTCGCTTTAAGTCATTTTCAAGTTTGAACTTTTGATTTATAGATAATGATGACATATTGAAACTTAAATGATATCTATACCATACATTTCTTTATTTAACAAATTTATGATTAAAGTAATATAATAAACTGTTTCAGAAAATTGATAAAAAAAATTATGCTCGTAATCATTTGTAATGGAGGAACCCGATAAAACAATTTTACAAGTAACTAGGTAAGATTTATCATCATTTTCCG